CAGCGTCACACCAAAACATGCGGGCGGTATGTGTATTTGTCCCCCTGACGGGCACTCGGCAGTCAGCGTCACACGAAAACATGCAGGCGGTATACGTACTTGTTACCCTGCTGGGCCCTCGGCTGTCAGCGTCACACCAAAACATGCGGGCGGTATGTGTATTTGTCCCCCTGACGGGCACTCGGCAGTCAGCATCACACCAAAACATGCGGGCGGTATACGTACTTGTTACCCTGCTGTGCCCTCGGCTGTCAGCGTCACACCAAAACATGCAGGCGGTATACGTACTTGTTGCCCTGCCAGGCAGTCAGCGTCACACCAAAACATGCAGACGGTATATGTATTTGTTACCCTGCTGGGAAGTCAGCATCACATCAAAACATGCAGGCGGTATACGTACTTGTTACCCTGCTAGGCAGGCAGTCAGCATCACACCAAAACATGCGGGCGGTTAAGTGCTTGTTACCCTGCTGGGCCCTCGGCTGTCAGCGTCACACCAAAACATGCGGGCGGTATGTGTATTTGTCCCCCTGACGGGCACTCGGCAGTCAGCATCACACCAAAACATGCGGGCGGTATGTTTATTTGTTCCCCTGCCGGGCACTCGGCACTCAGCATTACACCAAAACATGGAGACGGTATGCGTACTTGTTACCTTGCCGGGCAGTCAGCACCACACCAAAACATGCAGACAGTATCCGTACTTGTTCCCCTGCCGGGCACTCGGCAGTCAGCATCACACCAAAACATGCGGGCGGAATGTGTATTTGTCCCCCTGACGGGCACTCGGCACTCAGCATCACACCAAAACATGCAGACGGTATGCAAACTTGTTACCTTGCCGGGCAGTCAGCACCACACCAAAACATGGAGACGGAATGCGTACTTGTTACCCTGATGGGCAGTCAGCATCACACCCAAAAATGCAGACAGTATGCGTACTTGTTACCCTGCTGGGCACTCGGCAGTCAGCATCACACCAAAACATGCAGGCGGTATGCGTACTTGTTACCCTGCTGGGCACTCGGCAGTCAGCATCACACCAAAACATGCAGACAGTATGTGTACCTGTTCCCCTGCCGGGCCCTCGGCAGTCAGCGTCACACCAAAACATGCAGGCGGTATACGTACTTGTTACCCTGCTGGGCAGTCAGCATCACACCAAAACATGCAGGCGGTATACGAACTTGTTACCCTGCTGGGCAGTCAGCATCACACCAAAACATGCAGGCGGTATACGTACTTGTTACCCTGCTGGGCAGTCAGCATCACACCAAAACATGCAGGCGCTATGCGTAGTTGTTACCCTGACAGGCAGTCAGTATTGAGGTGTTAACACTAGGATTGGTTGGTTCAGGATCCTACCTCCCTCCACCCTATAACTGAACTAGCACTGTGGAGCCAGTGCACTATGTGGCACATTTTTCTTCAAATGAAGAGTGAGGTAGGGTTTTTCGTGCTTGAAAACAATGGTGATGATGTAGGAACACGTTTTATTAATTCCGACCCAGAACACCACCTTGTTAGATATCTATGTATTATGTTGAGTACAATGTCAGTTGTCAAGTAGGTCAGTTTAGGGATAACAGAGCAAGTTTCAATTATGATGCAGAAAATTTCTAAAATTCTAAAGTTCTAAAATTTACATTTTCACAAAGCCTTGTTGGATGATGATAAAAAATACTGTCAGTTACGTGTGAGTAGGCGTAGAGGTTGGATACTGGAGGTGCCTCAAGTGAACTGGCACTGTGGCAGTACAAATTCAGAGGCAGTATAATACAAGATCAGTAATGATTGTAATATAGACAGTGATGGTAGTATTCACTTCAGGGTAACATTAATCTAACTTGTAGGCCTGGGACAGTGCTGGTCTTCTGGGAACTTGTTTCCCGTGAAGACTTTGCTAGGGATCTTCAGTCTTCAAGGTTACTCACAGAACCTTCAGAGGATGTGAATGAACTTGCTGATCTCTATAACACAACACTGATTCAACTCATGGATTCTCATGCCCCTTGTGTCACTAGATACAGGCGACTCAGGCATGAACCACAGTGGTACAATGATCAGATACTTCTCGCAAAACCCACAAGCGCAAGTCGGAGCGTAAGTGGAGGAAAACCAGGCTTGAAATTCATCGGCAGATGTATAACATGGCCCGTAATGAATTAAACCAGCTGATTCGTGAGACAAAGTCAAGATATTACAATGATAATGTATTCTCCAATCAGCAGAATCCCAAAAAGTACTCTTTACTCATCTGTTTTCCTTACTTGGAAAGACGTCAAACACTACTCTACCTAATGTGGATGATGATTTGACTCTTGCAAACGACTTTGGCAAGTTCTTTTCTTCTAAGATTGAGAAGATTAGGCAAGAATTTTCTCCTGAGTCTATTGCTGTAACTGGTGCACGTTTTCAAGGTGAGAGTTTTGATTCCTTCGACCCGCTCACAGAGGAACAGATTATCTGCATCATCAAACAATCAAAGGGCACAACGTGTACACTTGATCCAGCCCCTACTAAATTTGTCTTGGAATATTTTGACATTTTACTTCCTGTGTTCACTCAGATTATCAATTTAAGCTTGAAATGTGGCACTGTTCCAGGTTGCTTCAAGCAGGCAATTGTGAAACCTTTGCTGAAAAACCTGGTTTAGACTCCACCTGTTTCAGCAACTATAGGCCAGTGTCTAATCTTCCATTCCTCTCCAAGGTACTTGAAAGAGCTGTGAAGATGCAAGTTAGTCAGCACTTGAGTAAACATGACCTCTATCACAAATTCCAGTCCGCCTATAGGTCATTCCACAGCACGGAAACAGCCCTGCTCCGTGTTGTAAAATGATTTGCAGTGGAGCGTTGACAGGGGAACTCAGCCGTTCTTGTTCTCTTGGACTTATCGGCCGCGTTTGATACGGTGGATCACCAGATACTTCTATCAAGACTTCAGTTCCAGTATGGATTAAATGATATGGCTCTTCTGTGGTTTAGGTCCTACTTATCAAACAGGACTCAATCTGTTGCTGTTCGTAATGCTCAGTCGGTGGAAGCTATTATTCTTTTGTGGTGTACCACAGGGATCGGTTCTCGGTCCTGTATTGTTCTCTATGTATACCAAAGAACTTGGTGACCTGCTTTTGTGAGAAAGCCACTAATCATCATCTTTATGCTGACGATACTCAGTTGTTTGATGGTATTACCATGGGCTATGACAACAGTTCTGGCTTGACCAGAATTGAAGATGCCATTGACCATATTGGTTCATGGATGTTCAATAACAAACTAAAATTAAATGAACACAAGACAGAGGGTATGATTGTTGGCACAAGAAACATGTTAGTAAAATCACAACATGTTGAGTTGAAAGTTGGAAACATGGTCATTCAGCCTTCTCTACATGTCAGAAATCTTGGCGTCCTACTCCAACCTGACCTCTCCATGAAGAAACAGATTCTGGATCTGTGCAGAAAATGTTACTTCCATCTCCGTAACATTGGACAGATCAGACATCTCCTGTCACAGGATGCTGCGGCTGCCCTGGTGAGAACACTGATTCTCTCACGACTTGACTATTGCAACAGCTTGTTGGTTGCAGCTTCACAAGAGTCCATCCAAAAGCTCCAACAAATCCAGAACACAGCTGCCCGCATAGTTACTCTCCAACCAAAACGCTGCCACATCACTCCCATCCTGTTGTCTCTTCACTGGTTGCCTATTGAGGGCTCGCATTGACTATAAGATCCTTACACTTGCTTATCAATCCATTCATGGTATTGCACCAGTGTATCTTCAAGAACTCTCTCTCTCCTTACATGCCAACAAGAACCCTGCGTTCATCCTCGGCTAATCTGCTCTATGTACCAAAGTGGAACCCTAAAATCGTTTGGCTGCAAGTCTTATCAGAACATGGCATCAGTCAAATGGAATTCCCTCCCTGATGAACTTAAGCTGTCTCCAACCCTTGAAAACTTTAAGTGCCATCTCAAAACCTTTCTTTACAAAAGTTCTATGGACTTTAATAATGCCTTTTATTGATTGTTAGCGCTATGAGCATACCTGGTGTGGAGTTTGGCGCTATATAAATGGACACATTATTATTATTATTATAACTTGAGATGTAATGTGAGATAAGATTCAATAGCTGATTCCTCTTATATACACAGAGGTTAGTTGCCAGAAAATTCTACACTAAGCAGGGGCGGATACAGCTTTTTGAGTAAAGACTTCATTTTCACGAGAGTTTCAATGGTCATTTAAATAAACTTTCAGGACAAAAGGGGGGATGCACAGCCCTGTACCCCAGTCTGGATCCGCCTATGCTAAGGCAGATGTTTCTAATAATAATTGTATTCTCTGCATCAGAGGAGGGTTCCACTACATTCACACACTCTGTCTAAATATTATACTGCTACAGCACACTCCTGCACATCGCTGACTCTGCAGGTAAAATGTATATTAGGTGAAACATTTTTGCACAGCCTGTAACAGGGAATGTGAGAGCATTACTGTTGAAAATCTAACATTTCTGACTTGAAAATGTAATCCCAAATATAACATTTGTTATTATAATTTTCTGAAAGTAAGTTTCAGATTTCATTGCTTGTTTGCTTTGATAACTGGAAGGGTGGGGGCTGATGTGCAACTGTAACAACATCTGAAAATTATCATATCTAACTCGCACTAAAACTAAGTGCCCCGGGTGAGGTTCGAACTCACAACCTCCGCATTCCTCATCCCGTGTGAACACGGGGAAGGTACTGACTATAAGTACGGCGCGCTAACCGATTGTGCCACCGGGGCGCTGACTGCCGAGGTTGAAATTAGTAAATAGATTTCACGGGCTATTTTTAGCCAGGTGATAGTTTTTAACAGTAATAAAATAAACTTTTCGTTTTATTTCACAGATATGAAAAACAACTATGATATAACGTCGCAAAAAATCCTTGAATAACAAAAAAGGCTTGTTCATATTTCGTTTTTCATTCTCTCGCACCTTCGAGATATGAAACGTCAAATAGTAATGGCTGCCGACATGGATGTCAACACGTCAATCGCCTCCAGTTCCTAAATGGTAATTTAGTGTTTATTCCTTGTATGATTTGTGTGTGATCTGATGTGCCCCCTTCCTTGATTAACATTGTCTGTCATGCAAACTTAGGATTTAGTATAGATTAAAATAGAAATAACCTGTGGATGAATAATGTCGTAAACATAAAAATCGGGAAAAGCCTTTTCAAAAGGTGGGCTTTGGTGTATTCAATTCTCCAGTTTTCCTGTCTTTGGGCTGGGTGACAGCTTTCTGCAGATCTTTTCAGATACATGTTTACCATTTTGTTTACCGCATGCGAGACTACCTAACTGCAGGAAACATATTCTCTTGCACATTGCTGTCAGGGCACATGAGCTTTAGCAAATACCTGCTGAGACAATAAACTGGTAGATGTGTCATGCTATCAAACTACAGGTTTGCTCCAAATATATTATGAATGTTAGTTAACTTTCAACATGTTCAGCATATACAAAACTTTGTTTATAACAAACACACAATATACTGACAAATATAATAAACTGTTTTTATATTCGTCCCTGCAACTCTTTTTGGTCAAAAAGAGAATAATGAACTACGATTACATCAAATCAAAACTAGTGGTCCCATTTTATTGTACTTATAGATGACTTTATCTGAAAAGAACCACCCAGGCCACCATCCAAACACACGTTATGTGTTTGTCCACACCTATTGCAGGGGTGGAAATAACTTTAAAAATTGCTAATGTACTCCGGTACAGTAGCACATGTAAAATCACTTGCCCTGATAATATTTCCACTATACTGGCTGATTTTCTTGTTGATTTTTTAAATAAACAACATAATTAACATTGGAAAGTCAACTGGACACCAGTATAGTGTGACATACAAATTTGCTAGCCCTACAGAAAAAACACTGGACTGGGGCGTCGGGCAATGGGTTATTTCCACCCCAGTATTGGTATCATGCAAGGAATCAAGATGAATGTTCATATGATACATATGATCCAACGATAATAGTTAAACATGTAAACCGATACTTGATATAAGTGTTAATTACATACAATATCTGCAGGTGATTATGAACACTTACACTTCATCATTCGAAAGGTTTATGATCACTTAATCAAGTGTAAATCTTAGATACTCACTGAAACATCTATATTTATCATTCTTATAGTAATATACCATAATAGAACCATTCTCTTTCTGCAGTGATACCTGGTTGATTACCCGAGTACAATGAGTTGGTGGGACACTAGTAACATCACTAATTTGGCCTCTCAGGCCCTGAAGAATGCACAGAAGAGTATTGACAAGGCTTTGGACATATCTGAAGAGGATGGAAAAACACAAGGTACTTTACTGTGCTTACTTGTGACAATTACTGAACATCCTCAATGTTCAATGTTCAGTGTCCTCTTTTGGCTTGCATTTGAAACGATTTGAAGTACATTTTTCTTGGTTATCCATTAAAGCATATATCAGTATATACTAAATGTCGTTGCATTTTAAAAGATATAATAGCATAATATAAATCCTGACAGCTGAGTAGCAGTTATTGTTTCATCTTTACCTTGGAGCCAGTTGTTTTGCAGTTAAATTTTATTCTTTCAAGTATGGGCTGTATATATTTATTGATATATTTCTCTAAATATATGCATAAAAATGAAAAATTTATCTTTTATTAACCTTTGCAATCAACAGCAGCTATCAAGGCAGCATCAGCTAGTAAACAGAAGACGACAGAAAAGCCATCTGGGTCAGGTGGTGGGGATTTCTGGAACTCCTGGCTTGGAGCTGGGCAGAAAGCAGAGGGAGCACAAAGTGCACCAGCAAAGAAACCAGAGACAGAGAAAGAAGGAACACAGGCCATCGAACCCAGTTCATGGAACTTTGGCTGGAGTGGGCAATCTGAATCAGAAAAGGGTTCTGAAAGTGAGACTTCATCATCATGGTCAAGCTTTGATCTTGGTGGATTGACCTCCAAAGGCTCAAAGACTAAAGAAGGGAGAAAGGCAAAAATTGATGAGAAGAGTGGAGGCCCTGATAGGCAACAGGCACGAGGACCTCTTCATCTGGGACAGAAAAAGTCATTGAAATCACCCAGATCCAGTACCTCTGGGGCTGTTGGTCAAGCTAGTGGGACATCGTCTGTTACAGAATCTGTGACATCTGATGAAGATGAAGGTAAAAGGAAGGAGGAGGGGGGACAGTTGCAACAAGCACATGCTACCACATTGGTTTCTGCAGATTCCTCCGAGGACATGGAAGCATGTGGCTTCAAGGCCAGTGATCCTGAGCCTGAAAGAGAAAGTGATGTTTCACCTGAGAAGGGGTGTGGGACTTCTGAAAAGCATGGGGATGATAGTGAGCATCCCACAAACAGCGAGTATCAAATCAGGAGGGATGAAAGTGTCAGTGAGGAAGGACTTTTCATTGCAACGGATTTTCCACCCTTTGATACCTCCAATCCTGATGTGCAGGATGTGAAAATGTTTGAAAAAGTTCCTGCTACAGATTTTATGGTAACATCAAGTACTGACCAAAGCCAAACTGATACCACTCAGCCAACCTCCTGTGTTTACCAGCCAGACCATTCCATAGTACCAGATGACAATATGGACGCTGCTAGAAGTGAAAGCATTATTTCTGTTGGGGAAAACGAAACAATAGTATCTTCTACTGAAGGTAGCCTGGACACATCTCAGAGAGTAGTCCTGGAAATTCCATCTGGTTATGCAGAACAGATTGGGCCAAGCACTCCATTATCATCAGAAGCTTCCATCATCACTCTGTCCAGTCCTGGTCAGGATGACCTTGACTACCAATGCAGCCCTCCCCAATCTATATCCAGTCAACAAATCACTTCAGAATACATCAACATCTCTACCACTCAGATTCAGGCACCTATGGATAACATGGACACTTTGTGCAGTGTGGACACACCTTCAGTGGAGAGCATTTCATCAGAAGTCGACCCAGCTGATGCAAGTGCTCTGGAAAGGGAGTTCCTGGAGAAGGATCAGATTGACCTTGGGCAGTCCAGTGGGAATGACTCGTCAGATGCTTCGAAGCTTGACAGTAGTATGGACACATGTACCTCGGGGGAGACTGTGGTGGGTCCGAGTGTTGTCGTGGAAAGGGAGAGTGACAGTGACCATGAACATGACATTGAGAAAAGTGATGAGAGTTTCCCTACAACTTCTCCCAATTCATCTTTTGTGAAAAATATGTTGGAGGAGGCTATGGAGGATGTGTCCAAACCTGAGGATTCTGGAAGTGATAATCATTCCTGTGGAGAGAAATCTGAAAGTTCAAAAGTTGAGTCTGAGATTGATAAAAGTATTAGTGGACAAGAGTCCAGTGATGACATTGAAACAACCACTTCATCTGACATTGAAATTATATCAACACCAACTCCAAATGGAGATAAGAATGAACGTCCATTTGACTTGTCACCCTTAAGAATAGCCCTGCAGAAGACTGTGGACAGAAGACGAGACAGAGAGACCCACAGTCACCGGCGGACAGACAGTCAGTCAAGCAGCAGTACTTACAGCAAGGCAGGAGAAAGTGATCAGATGAGTCCTGGCCGAGACAGTCTGGAGCGGCAGGATCTCGAGTCTGGGGATGAAGGTGAGGAGCTGTTGGTGTCAGCTGATATTGGGGAAACAGGGGACTCAGTAGTTTAGAAACAACAATTTGCTGTGTAGAGTTGTGTTCCTTAGCCCCGACCAGGATGCTATAGTTGTGGGTTTAAATCCTGTGCTGAGTCCAAGTATGTAAAACTCAAATTAGTCATCAAACACTGTCATTAGGTGTGAGTAACTTGGATACCAACCTCTCACAAGAACCTCTTGCATGTTTGTGTTTGTTTAGTTTTAGTGACCATGCTAAAAGATACTGAGTTACACTACAGGTTTGTTTATCAAGCATATATAGATATACCTGTATGATTAGGAATATTGAACATAAAACCTGTATGAAACGTGAAGATTACTGTGAAACATAAAACCATATCCATGTAGCAGCCATATTGTGATATACTGCTCACAAGAAGTTAAGGACCACCCAATTCTTTCATGTTACTACAGTTAATGTCATGCCATGTAGTTATAGGGAAGAATATGGCGACCTAACTCATTTGAGTAGTAGGCAATAAAGTAGACATTACATGATGGTGTTACTACTGTGTAATGTTTGCCAGATCTGCGTGCCCCGGACCTGTCCGCCGTGACGGAGGAGGATATTGACAACCCGTACCACCCCCAGAAGCTGCTCCAGGTATGTGAGGGTGTTCCTCCGGTCGTGTCTTGCTCGCTCTCTCTCTTGCTTCGTCTACAGGTCACTGATATGCCAGCGACAGAGGAAACAGAGTTAGCCAGTGTGTTGTAGGTGTTATGAAAGCATTACAGAACACCTGAGTCTTTCAGTTTCCTCTGCTGTGGTGTTACAGTGATGAGGGATGCTGGGCTGCCATGTTTACACTTGTTTGAAAACAAAGCCTACAATCTTGTTGGTCTTTACACATACTTTTCCACTGGGGTTCTGAGGTACGGGTATGAAAATGTCCTCTTGCATGTTGATCCACAAGGGAAGTACGAGACCAACTGGGTTGAGACTTCTGGGAGCTGGCATGCTTTTTGTGCTTTTTCACCTGTTGTCAGCAAACATTACTTGTTGCACACATGGTTAATACATTGAGTGTCGAGGCATGAGATGAGCATTAACTGTTCGCATTGTAATGTAGGCACATATTCTGTAGGAACGTGTTGATGTAAACAAATATATCTAATAAAATAAGTACATGAAGTATGAACCATCTGTCAACATAATCAGACAAATCAGTAGGTCGGAACTCTTGTTTTCAAAAAGTGTTTTTTGTGATGTGGCATACTTGAAACAAAGAATATACATTAACTACAAGTTAAATAGATAATACAAATTTCTTGTGGCTGTAAATGGTGGTTTTATCATTTGTTAGTTGGGTTGTCACACTTCATGGTGTTCATGTTTTTAAAAGGTTCTAAAATCAGGGTCATATTTCAGTTCGTAAAAAGTATCAAAATATAGCAGATCCCTATTTCCATTTCTTTGATGACATATGTATCAGTGATAAAGAAGAATATGAATGTTGATAGCTTGACATACATAATACATGTGATGAGCAAGATATCACAGATAAATACAATGTCGTTCAGTGAGTGTTCTTGAAGAATGATTGGTCGAATAACAATTAACACCCAACTTTACTTCAAGAGTTGAAGAGCACATGTGATAGCAAGCACAGCAGTGATAATCATTTACACAGAAATGTCATGCACATTGTATTACCCGTGTTGCAGTACTGACCATTACTCTAATGTGATGCTAAAGTAATATTAACATAATGAAACATGATGCATTTAGCTGATCTATGTAGCATCACTGGCACCAGTATCCCAGGCTTGGTGTGATTTTGAGGTGGTTACCATGGTTACATGCATGAGCAGATGGATAGTGAGTAATTGTATCCCAAAATATGGTTCAGTTTTCATACTATCAATCACTGGTTTTCCAGCCATAACTCAATATTTATCAGGGGGCCATATGTAGCTGGAATATTGCTTACTTCAACCAACAAGAACATTCACTCACTAAGTCACACATGTTGTTAGTTTCATTTTTGTGTGGGCAGTGGAGTAGCCTATTGGTTCAAGTGTTCGCTCGTCAAGCTGAAGACCTGGGTTTGATTCCCCACATGGGTAGATTGTATAAAGCCCATTTCTGGTGTCCCCTGTGTGATAGTGTTGGAATATTGGTAAAAGCAGCGTAAAACTAAACTCACTCACTCACTCATTTTTGTGCTTCTTCACACTATATATATGTCGTGACCTTGTATACACAGGTTATCACATAGTTTTCTAGTTTCTTCCAACATAACATTGTTGTGCTGTGGCAAACATAAGTCTACATTGATCATTTTCATGTAAAGGATTTATGAACTGCTGTTGCCCTGTGTTATATCACAAGCAGGATATATCTCCCATGGTGCCATGTCTGTGGAATACTGCCAGTGATAATAGTCGAGGGAATAATGGGGCATATTGGTTTCTCTCTTCAGACCACAATGAGTTAGTAATTAGATTTTCATCCACATCATAAAAGAAAATTAGCACATACTTTCCTTGAAACTGATGTCATCTCAATCATGCTTTTAATTGGTTTCTTTTTTATATGAAATCAGTTTGTATGTTTCTTTTCAACATAGTTATGGAGTTTAATGGAAATGAAAATCTGATAATTGACTTATTGTGGCCTTAACCATTTATTTACATACTTCCGACTGAATTCAGTGCATTTATGACAGGGATAAAAGTAAATTTAATCATTCATCATATAAGTGTAAAATATTGCACCTCTTTGAAGTAAATGAGAAAGGATACAGATTCTAAATTGGTAAAGTGAACAGTTGATGTGAGCGGTAGTGGTATCAGCGGGTAATGTCGCAGTTCTTCATGAAAATAGCTTATGAATTATGTAAATGAATGTGATGAATATATTATAAAGATTTCTTTTCAACATATTAATGTGTTCATTATCAGAATTGAGAACAGGTTAGCTGTTATTCTTGCTTTTAGATAACAGTTTTGTATGATTTTTTACTTTTGTGTCCTCAAATTTTGGAAGAGTGGCAGACCCACAGTAGTTCTGATATCATTGAAGAAATAACATAATAATCATCATGAGTAGCTAGTCCTCAATTGTTGCCCTAACCAGCATCCAGCTGTAAAGCCCATTCCTCAACCTAAGTGATTGAATGTCATAAGCGAGTGTTGGTGTGATGGAATTCAAGTTGTCATGCCTACTTGTACTCCAGGCCAACAACCTCTGACCATTTTACTCAAGGCCAACACCCACTGACCCAGTTGTACTCCAGGCCAACACCCACTGACCCAGTTGTACTCCAGGCCAACACCCACTGACCCAGTTGTACTCCAGGCCAACACCCACTGACCCAGTTGTACTCCAGGCCAACACCCACTGACCCAGTTGTACTCCAGGCCAAACCCACTGACCACTGGAAGTTGTACTCCAGGCCAACACCCACTGACCCAGTTGTACTCCAGGCCAACAACCTCTGACCAGTTGTACTCCAGGCCACACCCACTGACCCAGTTGTACTCCAGGCCAACACCCACTGACCCAGTTGTACTCCAGGCCAACAACCTCTGACCAGTTGTACTCCAGGCCAACCCACTGACCCAGTTGTACTCCAGGCCAACAACCTCTGACCAGTTGTACTCCAGGCCAACCCACTGACCCAGTTGTACTCCAGGCCAACACCCACTGACCCAGTTGTACTCCAGGCCAACACCCACTGACCAGTTGTACTCCAGCCCAACACCCTCTGACCCAGTTGTACTCCAGGCCAACAACCTCTGACCAGTTGTACTCCAAACCAATACCCGGTGATCAGTTTACTCCAGGCCAACACCCACTGACGCAGTTGTACTCCAGGCCAACACCCTCTGACCACTTGTACTCCAGGCCAACATCCTCTGACCCAGTTGTACTCCTCGCCAACACCCTCTGACCAGTTGTACTCCAGCCCAACACCCACTGACCCAGTTGTACTCCAGGCCAACACCCTCTGACCAGTTATACTCCAGGCCAACATCCTCTGACCCAGTTGTACTCCAGGCCAACACCCTTTGACCAGTTGTACACCTAGCCAACACCCTGTGACCCAGTTGTTCTCTTGGCCAACACCCTGTGACCCAGTTGTTCTCCTGGCCAACACCCTCTGACCCAGTTGTACTCCAGGCCAACACCCTCTGACCCAGTTGTGTTACTTTACTCCAGGCCAACACCCTCTGACCAGTTGTACTCCAGGCCAACACCCTCTGACCAGTTGTACTCCAGGCCAACACCCTCTGACCAGTTGTACTCCAGGCCAACACCCTCTGACCAGTTGTACACCTAGCCAACACCCTCTGACCCAGTTGTACTCCAGCCAACACCCTCTGACCCAGTTGTACTCCTGGCCAACACCCTCTGACCCAGTTGTTCTCCTGGCCAACATCCTCTGACCCAGTTGTTTTCCTGGCCAACACCCTCTGATCCAGTTGTTCTCCTGGCCAACACCCTGTGACCCAGTTGTTCTCCTGGCCAACACCCTCTGACCCAGTTGTACTCCTGGCCAACACCCTCTGACCCAGTTGTACACCAGCCCACACCCTGTGACCCAGTTGTACTCCTGGCCAACACCTCTCTGACCCAGTTGTACTCCAGGCCAACACCCTCTGACCCAGTTGTACTCCTGGCCAACACTGACCTGACCCAGTTGTACACCTGGCCAACACCCTCTGACCCAGTTGTACACCTGGCCAACACCCTCTGACCCAGTTGTTCTCCTGGCCAACACCCTCTGACCCAGTTGCCAACACCTCTCATACCAGGCCAACACCCTCTGACCAGTTGTCTGGCCAACACACCTGGCCAACACCCTCTGACCCAGTTGTACACCTGGCCAACACCCTCTGACCCAGTTGTACTCCTGGCCAACACCCTCTGACCCAGTTGTTCTCCTGGCCAACACCCTCTGACCCAGTTGTTCTCCTGGCCAACACCCTCTGACCCAGTTGTACACCTGGCCAACACCCTGTGACCCAGTTGTACACCTGGCCAACACCCTGTGACCCAGTTGTTCTCCTGGCCAACACCCTCTGACCCAGTTGTACTTGAACGCTGTGTGACCAGCTCCTCGGGCAGATCTCAAGATATATGTATCCAGACCCCACCAGCCTGGGCCCCACAGCAGTCCCCAATGGAACCACTACCCAGAGTCCAGCTGCATGTAGGTAGGGGCAGAGCAGGGAATCAGTGTGATGGCTATTGTTTTATTCCTTCTTTGGAAAAGACCAATTTATTGTCTCATTTCATGTAGAAGGCAAAATACAATTAGGTGTTATCATGGTTGATTTGAGACTCTTAAAACAGTTTCATCAAAAATAGAAATAAAAAAGGAAGGTTCAAAAGCATAACTTGGTGAAATACATCTTTTATTTGATCAACTACATCTAGGTAACATTTGGCGCTCTTCAGATATGCCAAGGTAATTCCTGTACATGAAAGAAGAACATGAGTTGGTCTGGAATTGTATTTAATTGGGTTTGTTGCTTTTCCAGTTAACATGGTTAGAAGTAAAGATGCTAAATGACCATAAGTAATTCGAGATGATTAGAACCTTACAAGCACACCTGAATTGATTGCATGTATAACTTTCAGGGTGTACCCACCCAACAGCAACATGAAATAATAAAGGTAATCATATCAAGTTTTTCTTTTCACACATTCCATCATGTCTACTTGCTGTTCCAATAATCACGATCATTTTTCTTTGCGAGATTCACAAAGGGACTGTAGCTCACCTTTATACAAAAGTTAATGATGTTAGCTGCAGAGATATAGCTTCTCTCACGTGATTGCTAACACCACTAACAAGCAGGATAGCCATCTAGTTTTTGTAGGGCTGCGTCGGTTCATTGACGAAGTCAGTATCACATATCTCACCATAAGGCTTTTGGGGAGGAAGGATACAATAAAGAAATATGTCCTTAGTATTATCTATGGATATTTAATCGTGGAATTTTTTAAGTATGGTACAGAAAAAAGTGAAGATAACAGCATTTATGAGCAGTGATATGAAGTTGTTCTGTTTTGTTAGCATGTCTGTCTCTTCAGCTATCTTTTCCCGTTTTGTTGTGTTAACATTTACTTGACCAAGTTGCAGATACACGTTCTGCAACTTCATGTTATGTTTTGGAGCAGATTATGAATTGACTTTTGTTAAACAGTTACCAATTAACAACTAGTTGCATTTGATTTTAAAGGCTAAGACTATGTGGACTATGTCACGAGTTTGTTGAATTTTGTTTTTAGTTGTGTGCTGATGATTCTTTTGCTTGTGTTTCTGCTAGTGTGTATTTTCCGTCATCATATAAGTAGTTAGTACTGTAGTGTGGTAGAATACTAGCATACAGAGACAAGATATTCAAAGACATTTACATTTTCATGTAAGGGACCGTTCATAATTTATGACTAGGGGGGTGATGCTGATTTTAAGGGGGTGGGGGGGCATCACCCATGTCCTGGCCGACTGCTCCAGTGGCTAAGTGGATAGAGCGTCTGTCTGATGAGCCCGTCATTGAAGATGGTACTTGTTATTACCCTGCCTGATGCTTGGCATGAAGGGTATTCAACAAGGACAGGGTGGCTTGATGTTAGTATAATTGTATCCAAGGGAGGTAACCAATTGAAACTATGACATGAGATATCAGTGAGCTAACACTATTTAACCCCTTTGCTGCCAATTTTTTTTTCTGACACACTTTTTTATGCATATATATGAAGTGGATTTGTATGCTTATGTATAATATTATACATTTAGTATATAAATGGACACTTCCCATAAGTGATGAAAATTCATTTAGCTCTAGGATGGCAAATGACGACAGAGAGGTAACAAATGCATGAACAAAAGGGACATAACTCCGCTATACTTAGCAGGTCACTTGCTTAGAATTTGATGTGGATAAGGACAGTATATTTCCGAGATGTTTTATTAACAAAGATCCACACTGCAACTGGATACAGAATCTCAAATGATAAGAAATGATGAAATCGTACTACATGATAGACAGTCTAAGTAAACTTAGGCTCAGTATTATTCGTAATCTAACAAACCCTAGTAGAAGGTCGCGTCAGCTAACCTTTTGGACTGACCAATCAGAACACAGCTTTCCAAGTCGCAAAAGTTAACATTCACAAATAGCGTTTGAACCTTTACCTAAAAAAACCTCGAACGATTCGCAATGCTATTTTCCGCACAATCGCTTTCGAGTGATAACGCAATGAGTAAACAGTTGCTGAAAATAGCAGATTTGTCAATATTCAAGTATGTCATCTTGCGGAAATATAAGCTAATAGTAACCATGTCATTAGAAACCCCCTAAGCATATATATTGCAGGTCAAATATCTGTGTTTTATGAGGATTTTCGTTTGTTGATAGATCAGTGTCAGCGACCAGGTAAGAGAAAATCCCAAAACCATTTTGTAAGTCCCGTCGAACCCTAAGAAGTAGTCGTCGTATGATTGGTTAAATCCGTTCAGCCGTCTCACGTTTGATTGGACATAGGTCATAGGTCGCTGAAAGGTTAGCTGCTGCGACCTTCTACCAGGGTTTGTTATACTCAGTATAGCAGGGTAACAAATGATAAAAGATAACTATGTCTGTGCATGCAAATTTGACTCTTTTCGACAGAATATGAAACAACTGATTATAACAAGTAAACAATGTTTGAAATAGATAAACAGTTGTATCTTAATTGGATTACAGGTACTCAGGTTTGGCATCAGTTTACAGTAGTTCTATAATAACATTTCAAACACATGAAAATATTTTCAATTTTGGTCTTTTCTTTGTTCCTTTTGATGTAGCTATACATATGTGAAAAATAGATGAAATGAAAGTGGTTTTGTAGGGCACTATCAGAATAACTGTGTGGTTTGACAACAGAAGTACATGGCATGGTGTATGTTTAGGTTATGCAGTTCTTGTAGAAATACAGTTTACATTTGTAAACACTATCCAATATGGCAGAATGTTTACTTCGGGGTTCATGTTTGCATATTCCCCAACATTTTTACTGACTGTAAGGTCATCAGCAACATTTCAGAATAGTCATCATGATGACAAACATATCGGTGATCACTGAAATACTATATTTGAAATTCAGTTCTTCGTGAATATTTCAAAACATAGACAAAATATCACTGTTAATGGTGATTATGTAATGTGTCAAAAATAGTGAGATTTACAATGTACCTAATTTTCAGAGGTCATTTTCAGCAAGGTTGATGAAGTAGGTTCTTTAGCCTCTCCATGCACCTATGATTCTGGAAGTATAGGATACATAGGTACTGCCACTGAGAATATGTTAACTTGGATGCAGAGGCTTTGAGAGCCTTCATACACTCATTATAGAGTCACTGTTGATACTGAACTGCTGAAGCACTGGAAATTTGACATCATCTCACAAAACTGCCTCAAAGTACCTGTATGTGTTAACCGGGTGAATAATGGTGCAAGGATAGAACATCTGGAGATAAGTGTATCCAGCACATCTGGTTTCAAAATTTATGGGATCAAAATTCCGCATCGTCATTTGAAGATAAAATTTGGGTACAGAAATTCCTTGCAAATAGAATGCCCAACAAGGGCTGGCCATAAGGTATCATAACTGGCGACAATTGCAAACAACCCTAGTCTGAAATGAGATCACATAAGCTGCACTTACGAGTGACTCGTCATATTTTACTCTGCAACACCACATACTCAGTACTGGGCCCCGTTCCTGAAAGCGATTGTAGTGCTAAGGTGATCATAACTCCCATACTTTAACATAGACTTACGACAGTCGTAGCGCTACGATCGCTTTGAGGAACGGGACCCAGGTTGGCAGTTTTTGCATTCAAGAACTGAAAAATTGATCATATGATTGGATGACTGAATAAACTGACTAATTGTTAAACCAATACATTCGGACTTCACATGTGTTTTTGATAATCTGAAAATTGAGCTCGTGAGTTCAGATGAAGTGTCCTGCTCGTTGCTAGTTGGGTGTACGTTTTGTGTTGTGAACAAGTTCTGAGATAATTTCTAAGATATTTGCACATTCTGGGCAGTTCAGTATGTTACTTACAATACAGCATCATTTAAACTCTTGATGTTTCTGTGTTGGTATGGCAGGCAGAAATGCCTTCAAAAGTTTCAACGGTCAGTTGAGATGTATTAACCCTAAAACCGACTATTACTTTGATTGTTGTTTTTTTCCTGCAAAATAGAGAAGTGATAGGACTTGTTTATATAAATTATAAGTTCCAGATTGATTATTTTCTTTCAAATATCATATTTCTGGCAAATAATATGTCACAGCTTGAAATCCAGCACCATTATTCTGTTTCTTCACTTCTCAGCAAGATCCTTGTACCTTTCATTCTCCTAGAAAGTGTGTTTACTGTCCAGTGTTAAGTTATTTTCTTTTCTCATTGACAACAAAACAGGTATATTTCTTAATTTTGATTGTGATGAGCCTTTTATTAGAATTACGTTCATTACAACATAGTAGCTTTTGTAAGTAGCTGACAGTATATTCCCAGCTAGTTTTCACATGATGAGGCAAGATCATGGACGTCTCCAAGTGATCAGGAGACATCACCTAACTTTTCATCATCCTGTACTGTGTATTATAATGCCATTCTTTTCTGTTTGCAATTTGCCATCAGGCTTCATGTGGATGCCACCATCTTAGATTCTGAAAACCTGAGATAGAATTTCTGTCATATATGTGTGTGACTTTATTAAATTAGCATACCGTTACTACAAACAGTAGATAGGTCCATGTGGTCAGGGTGGACCTGGTGGTTGCAGTATCACATACATGTTACAGAAGCTAGCAGAGCAGGCGGAGGTTCTGCAACACCGGGAGAACAAGCTGGTGCAGCTGAGCAAGGAGAACAACGACCTTCTGGAGACAAACAGCATCCTCCGCAAGTAGGTCCACACACACTTGAGATGGAACAAGGAGAGTGGCACCCTGTAGCCTTGGCCTCTGTTCTGTTTCTTTAGGTGTTAGAAGGGTAACACAGATGTGTTTTAGCTATGAGAAGGATAGTGGGCAGGTGTAAAATTGATTGACCAACACAGTGGTGGTGTTGCATGATGAATTGTAGTAGATATAAGGAGGGTCACTTTAGCTTTGAAAAGGATTGTAGGTAACTACAGGTAGATGCTGGTATATGAAAGGTAACAATGGGAACAGTTGCTTAAAATATCAACCTAGCAATAATCAAAGCTTCCTTCCAGACATAGCAGTTATGTTTTAGTATCTGTGTGTAAGAAATCAAATGTTGTTGATTGCTACCACTCATTTATCATTGTGTATTTTTTCTTCTTTTAAATTCATTACCATAATCTGTTATTATAATTCATTACAATAATCTGTATGATGGCAGTCAGCTGCAGCAGGTGGAGGAACTACGGGAGACTGAAATGACCGATCTCAACATCCTCACAGAAGAGTTCACAAAGAGGCTGTCCGAGGCAGAGAAGAAACTGCAGTCTTCTATCAAGGTACATAGTTTAAAGGGCAGGGGTGATCACAAAGAGGCTGTCCGAGGCAGAGAAGAAACTGCAGTCTTCTATCAAGGTACATAGTTTAAAGGGCAGGGGTGATCACAAAGAGGCTGTCCAAGGCAGAGAAGAAACTGCAATCTTCTATCAAGGTACATAGTTTAAAGGGCAGGAGTGATCACAAATAGGCTGTCCGAGGCAGAGAAGAAACTGCAGTCTTCTATCAAGGTACATAGTTTAAAGGGCAGGAGTGATCACAAAGAGGCTGTCCGAGGCAGAGAAGAAACTGCAGTCTTCTATCAAGGTACATAGTTTAAAGGGCAGGAGTGATCACAAAGAGGCTGTCCGAGGCAGAGAAGAAACTGCAGTCTTCTATCAAGGTACATCGTTTAAAGGGCAGGGGGTGATCACAAAGAGGCTGTCCGAGGCAGAGAAGAAACTGCAGTCTTCTATCAAGGTACATAGTTTAAAGGGCAGGAGTGATCACAAAGAGGCTGTCCGAGGCAGAGAAGAAACTGCAGTCTTCTATCAAGGTACATAGTTTAAAGGGCAGGGGTGATCACAAAGAGGCTGTCCGAGGCAGAGAAGAAACTGCAGTCTTCTATCAAGGTACATAGTTTAAAGGGCAGGGGTGATCACAAAGAGGCTGTCCGAGGCAGAGAAGAAACTGCAGTCTTCTATCAAGGTACATTGTTTTAAAGGGCAGGGGTGATCACAAAGAGGCTGTCCGAGGCAGAGAAGAAACTGCAGTCTTCTATCAAGGTACATAGTTTAAAGGGCAGGTGTGATCACAAAGAGGCTGTCCGAGGCAGAGAAGAAACTGCAGTCTTCTATCAAGGTACATAGTTTAAAGGGCAGGGGTGATCACAAAGAGGCTGTCCGAGGCAGAGAAGAAACTGCAGTCTTCTATCAAGGTACATAGTTTAAAGGGCAGGGGTGATCACAAAGAGGCTGTCCGAGGCAGAGAAGAAACTGCAGTCTTCTATCAAGGTACATTGTTTAAAGGGCAGGAGTGATCACAAAGAGGCTGTCCGAGGCAGAGAAGAAACTGCAGTCTTCTATCAAGGTACATAGTTTAAAGGGCAGGGGTGATCACAAACGCATGTACTAAGGTAGTCAGGTCACAGTGAGATACTATTCTTGGGACAAAAGAATTGCCTTGTCTTTTGGTTCAATCCTAGTTGGGGGCAGTGGGGTAGCCTAGTGGCTAAAGCTTCTGCTCGTCATGCCGAAGACCCAGGTTAGATTCCCCCACATGGGTACAATGTGTGAAGCCCATTTCTGGTGTCCCTGGTCGTGATATTGCTGATATATTGCTAAAAGCGCACTAAAACCATACTCACTCACTTAGTCATTGCAACAACATGCATTATGTATAGCTCTCATGCAGAAACAAAATATTTGCAACACTGCTTCAATGCTCTTAGACATACACAGCCTACGGTAACAGATAAATAAGCATGTATGTTTGTTGTTCTGTATCAGCATTTTAAACCACATATCAAAATACATGACGTGCGGGTGAGCTGTGCAGACACTATTGGTGTAGTCATTACTGAGGCAACAGTGGCCAGTGATGGATGTGAGTGCTGGTGGTTTAAAGAGAATAGAGATGCATATGTTTTACACATACCTTGGAATAATTAGAACGAGAAAGCTGTTGCTATTGTCTGAAATTGGTTTGTGAACAAATTTCCCATTTTACATAACCATCTAATTATCAAATGGAGCATTAGAATTGGCAAGTTTCAAAAGTGGTTATTGTTGACATTGACAGATAGCCTTCCTTTCCTCCCATGACTTTACTGTTTAGACTTCAACCTTCAGTTAATAAATAATAAATATTAATGTGTATAAATATTTTGGCCGTCTGTTAGGCAGAGTCTGTTACATTTCATAAGAAGAATGTATGTCAGTCGGTTTGTGTTTCAAAATTGTTTTGTGTAATGTGACCTGGCATGCAAACATTGTGTGTTATTGTTTTCAGGAAAAGGAAGCTTTAAAACGACAGCTTCAAACAGCTCAAGATGAGCTGAAGAAAAGGTACTTTTAGCAGTGTGATACAAGACTACTTCAATTTATGTAGATCACCATTGAATCATTGACTGGAATACCAGCTGAAATTGTCAGGTTGAGTACGTCAAACCGTGTTCATTGACATTTACAGTGAAATTTAATAGTATTATATTTGTAAGATAGGTACAGCAGTAGCCAGTTACAGTGAAGAAAATATCAAGAAATAACTGGTTTCACTGTTATTGAGTGATCATGTCTTGAGGAGTCAACAAGTAGATAGCACTGAATAGCTAGCTCTCATGCATTGACTTATCATCAAAAACGTCCCTGTGTCTTCAAAATAAAGCATGGTACAGTATTTGCAAATTTTACATTTATTAAATTTGTCAGTTTTAGTAAAATTGTCTACATAGTTTAAAGAAGTCTTGGAGCCAGGGATTCTTTTTTTGATAATTGCCAGTACATTGGTATTGCTATGAATCTATGCATGTAGCATGCTGAAGATGTTGCGATGTTGCAGTGCCAGTGATGTGAGTCAGCAGTGTCTGCTGGAGGAGAAGGATGAGCAGATAGCCGAGTTGCTGCAGGAAGGTCAGTTATATACCATAGGTTCAGATTCAGAATAGGGCATTCCAGGGGAGTGTACATCCCCAGTACCCCATGCCTGTCTCTCTGTGAGGATTCCCGGTCCAGTTTAGGTCCCCAGTACCTCATTCCTGTTTCTTTGTGGGTATCATGAAGCTGAATAGCTATGTTGTACTCCATACTTGTTGTGAAGGTGACTAAAGTGAGGATCTAGTGTTAACAATGTGTGACCCTGGTGACCATGTTGGGCCATCGTACCCCATCAACATGCTACATGCTGTCTAGTCACTCACACGTTACACATATACAGTGAATACTGATGCTATGTTCATTCTATGTAAGCTGTGTTGACAACATCATAAAGATGTTTAAAGGTTTGTATTAACAAATATTCATTTGCACTATTTCAGGAGAAAAGTTGTCTAAACAACAGCTGCAGAGTAACAATATTATAAAGAAGCTGAGGAGCAAGGAGAAGGAAAACGAATCAGTGTTATCTTCACAAAAGTAAGTGGATTATTCCTATGACATACGGTACATTGAATTTTGTAATTCACCAGTTCGACTCTGAGCTTCTCCCAGATTTTGATCTCATCTTCTTGGCTTACATTTAGATGGTATGATCAGCTGAGATACTGTTAAAGCAGTGTGTATGTCAAGCAGTGTTAAGCCCAGCTAACTCACATACATATTGGAGCCACTCTGTAGTGATGACATTGACAGTATACTGTGTGTCCACAGGAAGAATCTGGAGGAGCAGAAGACGGAGCTGGAGCACCTGCGCAAGGTGTGTGACGCCAAGGATGACCTGGAGAAGAAGCAGATAGGTATGTGGTGTCTCACCCAACTCCATCAGGAGTAATAGATACAGGCAAACAAAGACATCTGTCCCTTGATGGTAATGTGTGAACTTCTGACTGCCTAACATGCCATCACAAGTTGACTGAAATATGTGCAGAACAGGTGTTAAGACACAATTGTACATCACATTTTCAAATGCTCACCTGTTACTGGACAAGATCATCTTGTATGTTCACATTCTGTAATGACTAACTTGAAACTAAGGTTAATGCTGAAAGGCCAATTCTGACAACACCTTCAGGACAAGTTGAAATCTATACTTGCTGTTCTCCATACAGTCTGTGTAGTTTTACATTGCTAGACAGCTGTGGGAACAGGTTACGTCAGGGCACAGGTGTGGGGTCCTTCGAGCTGCTGGTTATGTGGTCTTACATTGTAAACTGGCTCCAGGGTAGAAAGAACAGAATGTATTAGAATTCGTTAACAGCAATCTAAGGAGTTTCCAGTTATTTATGAAAACTAGAATGATTTGTGTCTTTGTATATTCATGGTGGCCCTTTGTTACAGAGGCTATCAGTCAGCTCAACAATGCTGTTCAGAAGCAAGAGAAGGAGTTGTTGAAGTTTAGGGTGAGGAGAAAGTGCTGAAACCAAAATCTGGATGTGCAGTGGTTGAATAATTTAACTATGAAATTCTTTTTAAAAAAAACACACCAGTATCATGTCTAAAGGTTTTTTGTTGTCTCAGCTTTCAAGTTCCTGTGACACCAATAAGGCTGTCTAAGATTCAGTTCACTGTGCAGAGTTACTTCCCTTGGTCACACCAGCAACCAGATCAAATGCTAGTCCACATAAATGATGTTTCTTGGTTTGTCAGTGCCAAATGTATTCTGACTGGTGTCACCAAAGCAGTATAGGTCCAAGCTTGCATCCCTCATTAATCTGACTTGCTGGGATGCAGCTGGACAACTGTTAAGAAATGGTGTTACAAACCCAATTTATTCAGTCACAAATATTGTTAATGATGTGAGAAATAAACATCTGTAGCATCAGTAGGTTAGCTTTGTGTGTGTCGACACTTACATTATATGCCCCTTGTTAATGAATTCAGGAGTAGTAGTGTCATACTGGTCCCCTGTTTAGTGATTCTACAAGTATTTATCTCCACAGAGCGAGCAGGAGGACGTGCAGGAGAAGGAGAGAAGTCTTCAGACAGCACTGGAGAATGCTTACAAGTAAGTGTTGCTAAGACGCTGGGTAGTATTGGCTCCAGCTGTTAGCCTTTGTATGTTGTTTAATGTCACACTGTTGATGTTATACATGATGATCCCAAGCTACAATTGCGACTTTTGGGTTGGACCTATCTGTCGCATGTGTGATATCCATAACTCTTTCACTCATATGGTTAACATCTGTCCTCCTAGAGAGATTGCCGACCTCCACAAGATGAATGCAGCCCAGGACAGCAAAGCCCAAGAGGCTGCCCTCAGTGCAGAGGAGGTGTCTGCGTGAGGCTCTCAAGATGGACATGGAGCATGAGAAGATGAAGCACAAGCAGGAGCGAGAGGCCCTGATCATGCAGATAGAGGATCTCCGACTCACCATGGCCAGGATGGACAAGGATCACAACCGGAGGGAGGACATGCTCAGACAGGAGATCTCTGATCTGCAAATGGTGAGTCAGGGATGTTGGGGAGATCTCTGATCTGGAGACAGTGAGTTGGGGTGTTGGGGAGATCTCTGTTCTGCAGATGGTCAGTCAGGGGTGTAGGGGATATCTCTGATCTGCAGACAGTGTGTCAGGGGTGCATGGGAGATATTTGATCTGCAGATGGTGAGTCAGGAGTGTAGGGAGATCTAGACTCTGCAGATGGTGAGTCAGGAGTGTAGGGGAGATCTCTGATCTGCAGATGGTAAGTCAGGGGTGTAGGGAGATCTCTGTTCGGCAGATGGTGAGACAGGGGTGCATTGGAGATCTGTTCTGCAGATGGTGAGTCAGGGATGTAGGGAGATTTCTGATCTGGAGATGGTGAGTCAGGGGTGCATGGGAGATCTAGACTCTGCAGGTAATGTTAAGGGCGCAGGGGAGATCTCTGATCTGCAGATGTTCAGTCATCTGTGTACTGGAGATCTCTAATTTGCAGATGGTGTGTCAGGGGTGTGGGGAGACATCCACTGAGCCGATGGTGAGTCATCTGTGTACTGGAGATCTCTGATCCCCAGCTAATGAGATCTCTGATCTGCAGATGGTGTGTCATGGGTGTGGGGCAGATCTATGATCTACAGATGATGTCAGGGATGTATGTCCTGTATGCAGTAGGTAGATCTACATAGAGTTTGTGAGTTATGAGGTAGAGATGGTTGTACAGTTTGTGAGTTGGGACGTAGACACAGTTGTACATACGGTGTATATGTTCTGTTCCCAGCAACTGCAGGAGGACGAGGCCAGAACCCAGGAACTGTCCCACAGTGTGTCATCAGGTAGGTTCAGTGTAGACCCACTGCATCCATGAGTTTCCAGGATTGATATGAAGTTATTGTCTGGATTGTATGTATTGAGGGGGGAATCTATGTTTAACTGTGACGTGGTATCTCAGTTGATCAGCAGTATAAAACTGGCGTACATACATGCACACACATATTGTGAAAATGACACAATGTCCCTCCCTGCTCCCAGCTACTCGACCGCTACTGAGACAGATAGAGAACCTTCAGGCCAACTACACCGCACAGTCCACGTCCTGGGAGAAGGTGGAGCGCAACATCACAGAAAGGCTGGGTGAGTGAGGAATTTGAAAACATAAGAAACTTATTTGATAATTTGACTTGCCATTAGCCATCAAGTCCAGTCTGGTTTTGAAGTTTAATGTGATTAATGTGATAGGGGATTCCAGATATACACATAGTTTCCCTCAGTCTTTCTTATTGTATGTTTCTGTATTACTTCAAGACATGACAAATTGGTACTATTGGTCCCAGTGGAGGGTATTACCGGTAGTGAGACTTGTTAGTCTGCCCCATTCTTGTATCAGCAGTATGCAATGCTTTGTGTCTCCTACTACTTTGACTAACAAACATTAGTATAACTGCACCATTGAGCCAAACCTTGACTGACTGACTGAGTGACCTCCTCCTGCAGCGGATGCCCAGAGCCAGCTAGCTCTGGCTGTGGAGAAGGAGAGGACAGTGAGTGAGAAGCTGATGGAACAAAACATCCGCCTGTCGACACTGGAGTCGCAGACAGCTCGGCTCCGGCAGGAGAAGTCACAGCTCCTGGCACAGGCCGAGATGGACAAGGCCAAGATTGAACTGTTAGAGGAATCGAAACTCAAGTCAGTTGATCAAATGTAGCCTGCCAATATTTTGTTAAATTGGTGTGATATTTGTAATTATATATACACAGGTGATTTTGTATGCAATGGTTCTTCATTTGGAGCCTTGTTATTACAAAAACTGACTATCAGCCTGTTTTGTTAACAAAAACGTGACTTTTAGTGATGAAGATTTTTTCTTAATCTACCTTCCGAGTCCATATGTTTATATTTGCATGAAATAGTTCCTTGTTTTGCCATTATTTTTCATGCACTAAAGCTATGTAATGAGTCGAAGGTGGGGCTACACTACTGTTTTTAGGGATACCACCGGTATTGTTCAAGCTGATGGACAGGAAACTGGTGATGGCTCAGAGAATAACAATAATATTTTTCCTTATCCTGACTCATGCTAAAAGCTTGTCTCCTTCTCCTTGCGAATGATAGTGGAACACTTGAAGTCCCTTGAAGTCCCTTTCTAAAAAGCGGACGTAAAATCCCTACTCACCCACGAGTTACCTCCCTTGCCCCTTTGGCGCCCTTTTGGTCACCTGACCGGCCATGTTTTGTCACTCTCTCCTTTTGCCCTTGAGGACGGCTGTGAGAGCACCTGGGTCCCTACACAGCACATATCCTTTTCTATTTTGGACCTTACATCAAAATTATTGCTGTATATGGCTTTTAGGATTGTATTCTACTATATGGTTTGAAATTTGATCTAAATTATACGTTGTTTGACATGTTTCTTCATCGTGTTTACATTTGATGAAAACTTGTGTTCTTTGTAGGTACCAGCTGTCTGCGGCTGACCCACATTTATTATGTCCTGATTGCACTACTTCATGTTCTTTCAGCTCTCGCTGTAAACATTGTCTGGATTTAACCACTTTTGAATTTAATAACTACCTTTATTCCATTCATAGACGTGCAAAGGACTGGGTAAGAAGGTATTCACAAGTCATGTCTAAATCGAGTGATTGCGCTGATAACCGTGTGTTAACTACTGCTGCCGATGTTCATAATTCCAGTGAATTGCCGAGCGTTTTACGGGGGCAGGTCGCTGTGCCAGTGATGAACCCTGGAGCTAAGAGATCATCGTCAATGGAGCTGAGCTCTTCAGAAGAAGAAGGCTAGATCTTCAACACAGAAGAAGAAGGCTACTACCCTAAGACTTCATCGAAGTCTCTACACAGCTGACCCGTGAAGATCCGGGGTAGAATAGGTCTTCAGCAACCCATGTGCTTGCCATAAAAAGGCGACTATCTTGTCGTAAGAGGCGACTAACGGGATCGGGTGGTCAGTTTCGCTGACTTGGTTGACACATGTCATCGGTTCCCAATTGCGCAGATCGATGCTCATGCTGTTCATCACTGGATTGTCTGGTCCAGACTCGATTATTTACAGACCGCCGCCATATAGCTGGAATATTGCTGAGTGCGGCGTAAAACTAAACTCACTCACTCACTCACTCTACACAGCTCTACGGTGTACTTCCGGAAGAAGCAGACGTGTATAATGATCCCCCCATCCTCATACCTGAAGTCACAGTCGTCAGCAAGAAGACAAAGCTTGCTTCTACATCTACATCAGCAACTTTATCAGCGCAGACATTGACAGAAGACCTTCTATCAACGCAGACATCGGGTACCAGAGACAGCAGCAGCATCAACTCTTCACAAGTGCAGCGTGCCTTAGAACATGCTTCATCGTTGTCAGAAGCATCGTCAATCCTGCAGCAGTCTCATCAGACATCGCAGAACTTCAACCCGGGACTGTTCATGCAACAGTTTACAGACCAGATGATGGAACGTCGCTTCGCGCAGGAGAAAGCTGCTACGAAGACCACTACGATGACTACTAGCCTGCGTGAAGATTCAGCAATCTCTCCAACGCACTTGGAAGAAGAGGGAAGCCTGCATGAAGGCTCACGCACCCGACGATCTTCCCCTTCTGAAGTTAGGAGGGTGAACACCAACGTCAGCTCAGGAACCGCTAAGGATTCTCCCCACAGAAGCAGGTCGAAGCGTTCTCCTGAACCCTACAGACGTCGTAGATACGGGTCGTCATCACCATCGGACTCAGACGCACATCGGGAACCTGAGCGCAGGCACTCCACATCTTACAGAGGGGAGACTACGTCTAAGAATCAACTTTCACGAAGGCCTAGAGAAACATCTCAAGACTCCAGGAAGGATACACGATCACATCGGGATCGTTCACCTGCACGCAGTTCGTCATACAGATCTTCACACAGAGACTCACGTCGTCGTGAATCATCAGAGCGGAAGATGTCTAAATCAGAGGAAGAAGGTGAAGTCATATTCTCCGATATGGAAGTAACCTCATGGATTGCTAATGGATTCACCAAGTCCTTATACAGAGCCCCATGGTCAGCATCATCCATCTTCGGGGGAGTGATTGAAGAAGTCACCAAAGAGGTTACACTCGAATCAAGGGAGGTCATGATGATAAAGTCCATAGATACCTTGGCAAATGTGATTCGCCAGACGTCCCAGCGCTACTCCAACAAATCCAAGTTTGCAGGAGTCCATAGAGCCAGAGAAAAGAAGTATTCCAGCTCAAGAGGAGGAAGAGGTTCTTTTCGTCGCCCAACCGGAGTCCCCAGAAGTAACCCCGGAAGAGGCCGAGCACCCAGGGGTGCCAGGGGAACCAAGCGCTGAAGGACAGGTTTGGATTGACTGGAGTCTTCCACCCCCAGCCGTTCCTGTACAACTTTCAACAGTGGGTGGACGTCTTCAACGGTACTCGGAGAATTGGGGAATACTACAGGACCACTACGTATCCCAGATACTACGCAGATGGGTACAAGATACAGTTTGAAGCCACCCCGCTGCTTACAAGCAACCCAATGGCCTTCAGATACGCAGCCGACCAGACAGAGAAACTGGACGACACAATCAAGACTCTACTCGACAAAGAAGCAGCAGAAGAGATAAATCAAGATCTCATCATGCCCGGTTTTTACACCCCAATTTTCCTGGTACCGAAGAAGAAATCCAAGGAGAAGTTTCAGCTCATCTACAACATGAGGAAGTTCAACCAGGAGTACCTTTGCAGACCAGCAAAATTCAAGATGATATACAGATATATACACATATACATCGTCGAGGTCTACGTCTACGACGGAATTCAAGTTCCCAAGATCCCAGTCAACTCAGACTGCAACTAGACTTCACCATCAGGCTTCTCACTCAGTTAGGATGGCTGGTAAATCTCCTCAAGTCGGAACTGGAGCCGAAACAGGATCTTCATTCTTTTTTATATATTCCTCCTTGGGGTACTTATAGGCATTTAAATGTCCATTTAAATTCCCTACGACAGTTGTAACAATATTTGAATAAAATATTTACAAAACAAAAACTACGTTTTGTCTTGTGAGACCACCCTTACAGGGCCTTCCGGCCCCCTACAGCCAAGAGCAGGTAACTCTAGACCGTAACCTCGTACCTCACTTTCCATGACAAGACGTGGGTCCATACCAGAAGGTTTTTCCTTGCGACTAAGAGAGTTATGAGTGTTTCAGAAACTGCAACTGTATGTATGGTTCTCTTTTTTCCCTGCATGGGCGAATTGGAGGTTTTTTCTGAATTTTTCCATTCATAATTTCTCGTTGTAACTTGGTACCTGTCGCGGTCGGCTCGCTAGTGCGTGTCAAGATGGCGGACAGGTCCCTTCGCTAGCCTTCCTGTTCATTGGTTTCCCATGTGGTTTCCCATGTGGTTTTTCAATGTTACAGGTGGTTTTAGTGGTTTTTTATTTGTATCTTTGTACGTGTAGGGCGTATGTCTACTGCTCGCATTTTCTATATTACGCTAAAAAAACCGTAATTGTTAGTTATGCTGCAGTGTGTACTAGGTTGTCAACTGCATGCTACGTTTGTCGCATTAGTTGTGTCACCCATGCGTCTTTTTACATGTATTTGTATGTGGGTATAGGGTAGATTGCTGCACAGGTTTTACTTGTTGCAGTTTAAACCCTGTGCCGTGCCTTGCTGCAATTCCCGTGCACGGGATACCCACGAGGTCTGCTTACGCTGTTTAGTGCAGAAGGAACATGAGGAAGAGGGTGTGCGGCATGTGCCATGTTCTCGCCCAAACCATTCGAGCGGCGGATAGACACGCTGTTTTCACGGCAACCTGCTTGGCGGGGTGATCTCTGGGCACAGGATCCCCTGTCCAAAGCTCCCATAGTAAAAGGGGGTCCACGGGGCAGCTTCCCCCGCCGGAGCCGGCTCCCAAGAAAGCTAAGGCGACCAAGGCGGCTTCGTCTTCACGCACTCATGCCCCTTCTGCATCTCCTACTGCTTCCGTCTCTGTACCCGCCACCCCCCCTCTTGATTCAGCACCTGTAAAAAGTGTTCCTGTTGATTCGTTAACCGTTTTTTTCCAGGAGCAGATGTCGTCAGTCAAGTCCCTGATTGATACGGCGTTAGCGGGGTTCCGTAAGGAGCTCAGCGCGCCGGTCGTCGGGGGCGGGGCTGACACATCTGGGGGTTAAGCGCGGCCCGAAGCCGGCTCGAGAGCAGCCCCCCGGCGGCTTGATCCTGGCTTCGGCCCTGGTGATGGCATGCCCTCGGCGTCTGGTGGCGACCTGGCTTTATGCACTGGTCTGTCACAGGTGCCTGGTGCCGGCGATACAGGTTTGCCCCTGTCATTGCCTGGTGTCCCGACTGGCGGTCGCCTAGGCGCCGACCAGTTCGGGGATACCTCGGCGCCTGGCAGCCAGTCTGGGTTGCCCGGGAAGCCTGTTGCGGCAGGTTCCTCTCGGGCGACTCGGCGACCTGGTGTGGGTTCCTCCGGCAGGCGATGTTTTCCCCTGGCTCCTCTTGACCTTATGAGTTTTCTGGTCCTGCCTCGGCGTCTCTCCTCGGCGTTCTCTCAGGAGTCTGAGATTATGGCGGCCGAGGATTCTGCGAGGTCGATATGGAGGAGGAGGAAGGGACGGTGGAATCGGAGGCGGGTGTGCCGTACTCCTTTGCCTCGTCACTGCGGCAGGTTCGG